TGTTAGAAATGATTTTGATAGTTAAACCTCGAAATCCGATGTTTAACTATTGAATCATAAACTAAGAGTTAAGTTGAATTCAAAAAATGTTTTTATGTATCCATAGCGAAGAAATGCAGCATTATTTGATAGTAAGTTTTGATCAAAAATTCTTATTTTTTATTTTGATAAAAATACATAAATTTTTTATAAATTATTTATTTGTGGTTGTTTATTTATTCTTTTTTCTAATGTTTGTAAATTGTATAATTATTTTCATTATTTTATAGTATTATTTATTTATGATGGTATTTTTGTTCATGTCATTACTTTTTGCTAAGCTGCTATATATTTTTTCACTCTCTAATTCGCTCCTAATAAGCTGCAAACAAACAGGTCTAAGTTGTGAGTTACTAGAAAAAAAAAGTTATTATCTATTGCATTTATAACGCAATTCAATAACTTACTTTCTAACGGTCAATATTGTTTCCGGTCTTAAGGTTTTACTGCTGATTTTTGATACTGCAGATTTTTTATTGCTTAGTTTATTACTGCTGATTTTCTAGTAAGTTTTGGTAACTTTAATAACTAACTGCTTTTTCTAAATCTTTAAAAAAAAAGGTACAAAAGTTCTGGCTCCAAGTATTCATAAAACCTTTGCATTGCGTATTAACAAAAGTTATGAAAATCTTTCCTCTCCATTTTTAGCATTAAAGTTATCCTAGATAGACAGCACTCTTCTTTTTCCTACCACAAGGTTTTATCTTTTAACCGCAAACACATATAAAAATCTCGGAACATTTCATACCGCTTTATTAAAGTCATCCTCAACATTCTTCATTTCTAGTAACTTTTGGGTAACTCAGAGATCTTCGATTGGTTAGAACAGGCAGCCAATATTGAATCTGATCTCACTTCTGTATTAGGTTGGGGCTTGCAGTGTCTTTCTATATTGACGAATGGTTACCCTCTCACTGAGTTCTCTTCTTCGCATCTGCTTGAATCATCGTTCACTACTGACCTCTCATAGAAACCGTTAACATCTAAGTTAACATCTTTTAAGGTTCTTCTCTTTATCGTGCTTGCCATTTTATTATTTCTGATTCCATTCTTTACCTTTAAAAATCTCTTATTCGCTTTATTAGTACTCTCTTCCATTTTCATGTTATGCTGGTTTGTAAATCTGAACAAAAAAAACATATTTCATTGTTGCAGTGTTTCTTTATATTATATTGAGACACTAATATGGTGCTCAAATATGCTCTCGACGTTTTAGCACTGATTGTTCTTTAATGCAAAACTTTGAATATTTTTTTTTCTTTAAAAGTAAACAATAAAGAGTTCCCTTTTATTGTTGTGTTTTCTTGATTAATATAAGATTTTAAGAAATTCTTCTTAGTTACTGTTTTTTTTTGCTTCCGAATAGTTTTCCTCACTTTCGTAATAGTTCATTATTAAGACGATGTATGATTACCTTATACCTCCCGGACAAAATAAATGAGTTTTTTAAGGTTTATTTTCAAAATAACAAATGAATAATAAAATTGTTCAATAGAAAATAAAGAGTAAAGCTTAATCTTTATCTTAAACTTCTATTTTTGAACACGACGGCTTAGAATTGGCTTAGCTTCAGAAAGTATTTCTTTGTACTTTTCATTATTCACAGTGCCCTTGATAATAAGCAATGTACCTTTGGAATAAAAATTACCTTTGGAACGAATCGTCCCCTAAGCCATGAGACTCTGTTTGAACTTTGGTTTGCCATTTCTCGGATGTTTCTTTGCCATTAACCTTCACAAGCTCAAAATAACTCAAAACGACTCTCATCACAAAAGACCCATTGATTCTTTTTCTTAAGTGTTTTTTACATTATTTTACCCTATTTTCTTATTGAACAGGAGTCATTAGGGGTTGATTTTAGGGAAAAAAAACTGAAGTACCCACTTCGGCTAAGATAACAAGTAATGGTTCTCGAAGCAACCTTCGGACTACCTTTTATGATTAATTCAGTTTGAATATCTCGGGCGGATCGTGTATAATCGTTTTGAGCTAATTGAATCAATTGTTGTTGGTCCATTAAATAAAGTTCTTTCTCTCCAAGGTCATTCCTCTTCTCATTTTCTTTAAACATCTTGCAACTGTTGCCTTAGATATCCAAGTTAATTTTGTCAAAGACTTAATGTCTTTATGAACCACTTTAAAAAGATAGTCAAGTGTCAACGCTAACAACTTCATTTTTAAAATTATTATTTTTAGGTAAATCAGAAATAATAATTAACACATAGATTTTTAGATGAATATATATGCACCTGATAAATCAAACAATAAGTTTCATGAAATACAAAAAAGTCATTGCATGACTCGCCAAAAATTGTAAAAATACAAACAAAAGTTTTGCATACGCGGTCTCATTTATTTTGTCTGAAAGGTAGTTGCAATTTTTTACTTGCTGTTGACACAAGAGAATGTTTAATAAGTACTTTTCTAATTTAGTGTGTCGATTTAAAAAAGAAACTTTTAAATGAGTGCTGTAAAATATCCCTTTTTAGTATTTAATCTTAATTGACCCATATGTCAGGGAGGGTTACCTAGTTTTATTTCGTCATTATACCAGCTTCCAAATTATGTTCAGCTTTAAGCAAATAAAAATTTAAGGAAATTTTTTGAAAAAAAAATTACTTGTTTGGATAGCACTATCTGAGCGTGGAATGTCGAAAGCATTCTTTCGGTTAACAACATCGGCTGCAAAAAAATAAAGCATTTATATCAAAGAATGCTTAGAAGAAAGCCTTACCATTAGAACATCGATGAGTATCATCAAGGTTTTTGGCCAGATTTAGCTATTAACACTAGCTAAATCTGGCCAAAAAATGTAACTTAAGTTACATTTTTTGGCCAGATTTAGCTAGTGTTAATAGGTCTAATGAGGCCATATCCTGGATAGATGAAAATATCAATTTCGTACCGGTTGATAAGAATCCTCCTAATGTCCCCAAAGGCTGGTCAACTGAGACTTCTGAGTATTGACTCAGAATGTAAATGAGGGTGGATGGGAGGCCATATGTTTACAACAATTGATTAGATGTATCAATGCGTGTTTGAATTGAAAATTCGTACAACATTTTTACAATCACTTATGAAGGGTATCAAGACAAAATTGAGAATAATAGCCAACAAGGGATCGGTTTATAAAAGATAATTTTGTTAAAATAAATATTGTATTAATTTAAAAATTAAAATTAAAAAATTTTTGCTTTAGTTTTTTTTTAAATACAAAGCTTTGATTTTTGTTTAACTAATTTCTCCTCTCCCGTTATTTACATTGAAAAGCAAGTCATTTTAGCAAAGTGCAAGGTTTTTCTATACCACTGCATGTAGTTCTTTGTGCATTTACAATTTTTTCTGAGATGCCAAAAACAATAATTTTACATTGTACATCATTGTACAATGTAAAATTTATATGTTTATATCAAACCTATCATATTTCCAATATGGATATGGTTCATGGGAATCGTTTAACTCATTTATAAATATCTATTGAATCTTCAGCGTAGCCTAAAAAAACTAAACTTCCTACAGATTTCAAGCAGAATATAGCCGTCATTGTTGATAACGGTTTTTAGGCACGTGTTGCGAAACAAAGGCTAAATGGCTTTAGTCAAACGACGTGTTCGTAACAAACGCCGTTGTCAAATATTGTCCGCGTCTCGTTGCTAAATCTCTCCCTATTTTATATAAACCAACTGTTAAAAAGTAAATACATGTTCATTATAAATTAAAAGTTCCACTTTTTAAGTTCCTATTACATTAATATTACTAAAAAATACATTTATAAATAAAGACAATATTTCTGTCTGACAGACAAATGAAGACAATATGACAAATGAAGACAATATCTGACAGACAAATGAAGACAATATTTCTGTATTTCAGCTAGGGATGGCAAAAATCCCGGAAATTTTCAATCCCGGAATTTCGGGATTGAGAAATTTGTCCATGGGAAATCCCGGGATTGAATAGGTAAAAACGCAAATGCAATCGAATACTTTTTAAGCACTTATCAAACACTTAAAATTTATTAATTTAATGATAATTTATAAGTATTATATAAAACAATACTTTAAAATGGTAACACAGTATAAATAAAAATAAAAATTAAAAACTATAAATATGTATGACGTTAAAAAAAACTTTCATAATTCACTAATTTGAAAATTAAAATGAATGGATATAAAACTGGAATTAAAATTGCGCATACTTTTGGAAGCAGAAAATTCAAAATTAAATTAATGTATACCTTCTATTAACAATTCTTGCACTTTTTACCAGCAAGCGCCTAAACTTTATCTATTTTTATAATATACTAGTTTTAATATAATACTATATATTATATATAGCATAATATTAAAACTAGTATATTATAAAACATAACAAAAATATAAGCGCTTGCTTGTGGAAAGAGCAAGAGTTTTTAATAAAAGTTATACTTTAATTTTATTTTATTATATATTTTTAATTTTAATTTTATATGTATATGTATATATATTTATATATGTATATATATATATATATATATATATATATATATATATATATATATATATATATATATATATATATATATATATATATATAAACAAACATATATACATTTTGCAGACAAGCAATGTTTTGATTTTTTTTTTTTTAGTAAAATGCAGAAAATGAGAGTTTTAAAAGGAAAACATTGCAAAGATAATAAATGATTACACAACCAAGCAGCTACTATACCAAAGACGATATAAAAATTACTAAACTACAATTATAAGCATAAACTTTATTAACCTTTCCTTTTTTTTGACGATCCCGAAATTCCGGGAAATTTCGGAGACTAATCCCGGGATTTCGGGATAAACATTTTTTACGAAATCCCGGGATTGCCATCCCTAATTTAAGCTGTCGCAGTTTAATTAAAAGAGGTTAATTTCATAATAATAAAATTAAAAAAAACTTAAAAAAAGCATGAATTAATGAAACTAATATAAAAAAAATTTAAAATTAAATACACAATTTCATATATATCTTACACACTGTTACATAAATAATATGTTAATATAAATTAACTGCAATTAACAATAACATTAAAAAAAATATTTGAAGTTCATTATCGTTGTTATACATCTTCTTAAGCATTTATTTTTCATACTGCTTATTCCCTAAAATAAATTTATGATTAGATTACGATATGATCTCACACAGCCATTTGTTTTAGATATAAAACTTAAAGTTGAACGACCAAGTAGAAAATTAAAAAGTTAAGTAATAAAAAAAAAATTGTACAAGTTATCTATATTCAAACTAACTTCAGTCAAATTCCGTACATTACGTTTTATTAAATAATACTCTAAATCATCTGCTTGTATTTAGAATTGATAAAAATTATACCTTCATCTCTCAAAATCCTCAACGCATTCTATGTAAACAACGTATTCTAAATAAACAAGAAAAAACACACCTTGAAAGCAAGAATTTCAATCAGAAGATTATAAACTACCAATATAAAAATACTACTCACACACAAGGTATCAAAAAGTTTCTGTCTGGAAGGTATTTGTTTTAAAGCACATGAACCACGTCAAGGTTCCTTCCTATTCACATGTACGATTTTTTTAATGCAGAACGATTGAAAGCATATGACAGAAAAATACACAATCAATTAGCAAACTGCTTATTCTTGCACATTCTCATTTCTATTAATAAAATGAAAATAAAAGAACAGGGAGTGAAATAAAAATGGACTTTAAAAAAATTCTAAAAAAAAAAGCATAAACTTTTAAATATATTAAAAGTTGAAAAAGAAAATATTGGATATGATAATTAACTTAAGATGTCAAACTTCTAGAAAAATTCTAATGCAACGTTTACAAACAGTCTATATCGAATGTGATTTCTCTTCTATGACAGTTTAGGGCTCATTTTGATTAGAAAATTTTAACCCAAGCTTTTTAACTCAGATGTTTGCTGCTATGTTGATATGCCTATTTTGATAAATGGACACACTCTTACAGAGTATTCTCGTTTATGTTCTTTTTGATTACCTTTTACTATTCACCACTAATGGAAACTATAAATCTAATTCTTCGCTTATATTTAAAAAATGTATGCACAACCTATTTCTTATTGTATGGAAAATTGTTGTCATTATTAGACTGATTCTTCTAATGATACCCTTTATCATTCAGACAAATTTAAAAAACGCATTACGAATGTAGTTGGACCAAATCAAGCTCCTAATGTTTAGCCTTAATAGCCCCATAGACAATAAGTCTATTACTCTTTTCGACAAATACATTCATGCTTGCTGCTTATCATTTTGATAAGCAGCAAGCATGATTGTATTTATCATTGCAAAATCATCATTTTGCAAAGTCGCATTCTTTTACTGTAATTGTTCTTTCACTGTTTACAGTTATAACACAAACATAAGACACAATAAAAATCTAAAAAGTATTCAGTTGAAAAGGAATAACATTATAGACAACTAAGCCACACGGGTGTGTAATAATGGGCGCAAAATTGTAAATTTGCAACATCTTTAAAACAGGTTAGAGTAATATACGAAAATGAAAATGTGCAAGTTACTTCTATAAGTATTACTTCATCAGAAAAAGATAGCTCCATATAGAGCACTTTATCTAAAAAGTGTATTTTCAGTGGATGTATTTTAGTGGACTAACTGGAGAGCCGCTAAAGTAACAGACCACCAGAGGTTTAAACAGAACACAAACAAACATACAGTAACTAAAAGCTAAATCATGCGATAATGGTGTAGTGGTAGAGCGCTCGCTTCATAAACGAGTGGTTCCGAGTTTGATCCCCACCACATCCCTGGTAGTACCGCGCTCAACTCGTTTCTCCACGCAGAGGCCTTGTTCGTCAAGGTTTGTGTTTTGGAGTTATAGAGTTGAGAGAGGATTATAGCCACAAAATAAGTAGCCTCCTCGTCTGTAGTGGCCTTCTCAGCCTTCTCAGGAGGTGAAATAAAATAAAAAAAAATAAAAAAAAACAACACCATAGGTTTAAACACAACACAAACATTCATATAGTAACTTATGAGTGAGTTAATATTGCGCCAGAGGTAAACAGAACACAAAACATTATACAGTAACTTACAGGTAAGTCAACACCATGCTTAAACAGAACAAACATACATACAGTAACTTACTGGTGAGACAATACTGCGCTTGAGTTTTAAATTGAACATAACAAACATACAGTAACTTACTAGTGAGTGAATGTTGCGCCAGAGGTTTTAACAGAACACAAACAATTATACAATAACATATGTGTAAGTCAGCATTGTGCAGGAGGTTTAAACCAACAAACAAACAAACATATAGTAACTAATGTCTGAGCCATTATCACGTCAGAGGTTTCCACAGAACACAAACATACATACAGTAACTTACGGGTGAGTCAACACCGCGCCAGAGGTTTAAACAGAACACAAACAAACATATAGCAACTTACGGGTGAGTCAACACCGCGCCAGAGGTTTAAACAGAACACAAACAAACATATAGCAACTTACGGGTGAGTCAACACCGCGCCAGAGGTTTAAACAGAACACAAACAAACATATAGCAACTTACGGGTGAGTCAACACCGCGCCAGAGGTTTAAACAGAACACAAACAAACATATAGCAACTTACGGGTGAGTCAACACCGCGCCAGAGGTTTAAACAGAACACAAACAAACATATAGCAACTTACGGGTGAGTCAACACCGCGCCAGAGGTTTAAACAGAACACAAACAAACACATAGTAACTTACAGATAAGTCAACACCGCGCCAGAGGTTTAAACAGAACACAAACATACATACATACAGTAACTTACATGTGAGTCGAAATTGCGCTTGAGGTTTAAACTAAACACAAACATAAATATAGTAATTTACGTGTTAGTCAATATTGTGCCAGAGGTTTAAACAGAACACGAACATACATACCGTAATTTAAATGTGAGTGAATGTACATACCGTATTTTAAATGTGAATGTACATACCGTAATTTAAATGTGAGTGAATGTACATACCGTAATTTAAATGTGAGTATTGTGCTTGAGGTTTAAACAGATTATAAACATACAATTAGTATGCTTATAATCTGCCATATAAGTGAGTCAATATTGCATCTGAGGTTTAAACTAAACACAAACATACATAGAATAACTTACAGGTGAGTCAACATTGCGCTAGAGGTTTAAACAGAACACAAAAATACATGCAGTAACTTATGGGTGAGTCTATATTGCACTTGAGGTTTAAATAGAATATAAACAAACATATAGTAACTTATTAGTGAGTCAATATTGTGCCAAAGGTTTAAACAGAACACAAACAAAATACAGTAACTTAAGGGTGAGTCAACATTGCGTTAGAGGTTTAAACAGAACACAAACAAACAAAGAGTAACTTACGAGTGAGTCAACATTGTGCAAGTGGTTTAAAACGAACACAAAAAAACATACAGTAATTTTTGGGTGAGCCAACAGCGCCAGAAGTTTAAACAGAACACAAACATACATATAGTAACTTACCAATGAGCTTGACATTATTTTATATACTTGGTTTTTCCTTACATTTATTTTTATAGTTCCTCTAATAATTTATAATTGTAAGCTGTTATGCATTCACCAGATAAAGCTGACCTAAAAATGAATTTATAAAAAGCATTCAAAAATTATTCTTTGTTTATTTCAAGTCTATTAATAAATCTACTAACTCAGCTAAACTATATTGTTAAGACAACTTGCAGCTTCTTTCCATGCTTATATTTAAATTCCCGTCTCATTCTGTTATTCACAACACATTAAAGGGATCCCAAACTCCCAACACATGTTGTGTTCATATTAAAGATAATGTTAAAAAAAAAGGTTTGAACCAAATTTTTTGGATTAAAAATAAATAATGAATGCATACCGTGAAAAACAAATGTTTTTTTTTTTGAAGAAGCTTGTCTTCTCCATTTTTTTCAACTACTCGGAGTCTTCAAATTATGCATCGCAATCTACAGACTTTGGCAATTCCTTTGAAGCGTGTTTAATTCATAAAAGTTTTAGTATTTGACGTCACGGTAGACTTAACAAAAGAAAAGTGTAATCATACTAAGCTGCGTTTTTCTACTGTAGTATTTTTTTAACATACAGCAAAACAAATTTATTTGTATTATTTTTCCAAACATCGTAAAAAGTAAAAACAATAAATTATTTTTATTTTATAGGAGCAACTTATTTTTTACAGATATCTTAATAATTTTTAGATTTATATATCTTACTTATATTTCTTTAATTATTTAAATTAAAACAAATATTAAAGCTTTACTTACCAATCTCATGCTTTTCATACGAGTATTTTACATTATATAGAACGTTTTATATATGGTCTCTTGTTTTAGCGCAAGAGAGCGCAGTATTATATATTCTGATTCTTAATTATTTTTATTTAAACAATGAGAACTACTTTTTAACTTCTCCGGTTATTTTTACACTATGACAATTTTTTATTTTTTCGTTGAAAAAAAGTATTAATTAACAATTACTTTCATAAACTGACAGTATTAATTAGAGATATTTAATGATTTGTTAACTTTTTTTATTATAAAATTTTTTTGATCACACTGATTTAATTTAAATTGTTAAATTTGCTGAATTGGATACGGATAAAAAGGAAATACCATTTTATTTTACATTTGATTTTTGATAATGAAATTTTTAAAATGTCAGCAACTCCATACCAATTAGAACCTGTTAAGATTATGAAAAAAAAGTACAAGAATACACTAAACAATACAGTTGACAGTAGTATCAGATATGAAAATTCGTGAAAGGATATGTGAGATCCCGATTTTGCATTAAAAGTACAATTAATTGCAACACAAGTCGGCATTATAAATTTTGATTATAATTTTACTGTTTAATATTTTATAACCATCAAATAAAAAACATGAAGTTTGTATATTTTCGCCCGTTTTATACAACTAATATTTAACAAAAATACGGACAAATTATTAATAAATAATGCAATAATTAACACATTAATTAAAGGCAATAATTCAAGATAGATGGTAATTTAAATTGTTAAAATGTCATAACGCGCATAAAAAAACATTATAATTGTTATTTCCAAATTTGTGTCGTAATTGGCATTTGTCTCTTAACATGAAAAATTAAAAAATTTTAAAAACACAATTAAAAAATACAAATTTTCAAGCAATTTTCTCTTCCAATTCTCATTTATTCAAAGAAAATTTACTATTAAACTTTTATTTCTCTTATCTAAAAAAAGAACGAGTGACGGAAAAAAAAAAATATTCTATACAACTCTTATTCATTCAAAGTTTAATTACGCGAAACTTTTCATTCTCTTTTGTTCTACTCTTTTATAAAAAGAGCGCCCAATGAAATAAAAACTTTTCTTTTTTAACATATAATTATAGTTTGAGATAAAATTAAATTAGAAATAAATCAACAATGAGCAAAGCAACGAACAGATTAATCTGGAACTATTTTGATATTTATGAAAATAATCAACATAAACAACATTACCAACAACAGTTATCAAATAAACAACATAATCTCGCATAAAGTAAATTTAGTTTTTTTACCTACATTTGTTATAAAAAACTTTAGAACCCCCGTCATTAAAATAATTTGTTTTAAATATATTTCGATGTGATTATTTAAACTTATTTTTTTCGTTTGACTTTCCGAATCTTATGCAAAGCAAATTGAAACGAAATATCGTCTAACCAAATAAAAAAGCTGTTACTAATTTTATACGGGTAACTAATGTAAAACAATTTTTGAGATAAATATTTTTTACTTAGATAAATATTTTTAATTTTATGCAGGTAATTAATGTAAAACAATTTTTGAGATAAAAATTTTGAGATAAATATTCATAATTTATAAACATTAAATATATGGCACAATAACAATTTATAGCAACGAACCAGCATAAAATATTATTAAACCAACGTTCCCACGCTTGTTCCCGATGAAAGTCACATATGAGAACTTGGCACTCTAAAAAATTTGATATACGAGTTGAAACTTGATTTACTTAAACATAAAACCACTCAAATATAAAATGATTCAGCAACTTGGTGTATTTAAAGCAATTTTAAAATATTATAGCCTCTGTAAGATATTTCATTGACTACAACATATTTTTGTTAAATGATCAGGTCAGTAAATTATGAAAAGATGAAAAAAACTAAAATAAACTTTGCGGTATCATAAATTATAAATGTTTATAGCAAAAAACCCTAGACCGAAGATTTTTTATTTTTTTTTAATTTTCTTAAATTCACAATCGTTTGTCGAAATTTTAAAAAGGTTTCAAATACGTTTTTTAGGTGAAATGAACATTACAGTTTAACAATATAATCTGTTCTGATTGGTTATTGCCAATTTTTATAAATTATAAGCTCTTTTATGGTCAGAATTCTAGTATTTTTTGTGAAAATTGATAGAAATATTGTGTTTTGACAATTATATATAGTTAATATACGTCAGAACTAGTGATTTCGTCGGTTATCCGGCTTTGCGGTTAATCGGATTTTGCTCAAATATCAAATATCTATTTTCGAATAATAAAAACCGACTTTTACGAAATTTATAGAAAGTAACATTGTAATTATGATGATTATTGTTTGACAAATGTTAATTTATCAAAGATTATATTTCTTTTATTAATTTAAATGTTAATTTAATCAGTTTTGTTTGATAATATATTCTTAAAACAAATTACAATAGAAATCTCAAAGATTTATTTATTACTTTTACAACTCAAGCAATACATTTTTAAGAAAGTTTCTTCAGAATATTATGGAACTCTAATTTGCTTATTCAGCGTATTTTTTGAACCAATAGAATTTGTTTATTCGTAGATTTGGCGGTATTTTAG